ATGTCACAACAAAATACTCTTGCTCCATCTAAAGCCCAGCCCAGAGGAGGGATAGAAAACCATTAGAGCAGCCTTGTGGTAGCAGTGACCCTTCAGATGTGCACGAGTGGTTTTTAGATACACAGCATTACTAATGGACATAATTTTTAAAATAATTCTCTTCTTATCTAGTTGCCCCTTTAACATCCATCATTGCAGTAAAAAAAAGATGTATATCTCTAAAGAGCAGGTGCCTGTCAAAAGTGGGATGTGCTGTCATGAATGTCAATCTCTTTGGGGCAATGGCACCGGGTGATGTCTGTGTTAAAGGCTGTATTTATGCATACTTGTGAATGTGAGTAACAAACTGTAATGAAGGAGAATTTAAACTTAATTTGTGTTACATTTATTACTTGTTATATGTTGCTTTTGAAATAAGCATACACCAAACATCAGGTTGATGTTGTAGCAGTGCTTAATGTTACTAGATGCCCTTCTAACCTCTGAGGATGTTCTTCGGGATAAATAGTTTTTCAGACAAATTTATTTCATAATTTCCTATTTTTAGCTCCAGGGCATGGATGATAGAGAGAGGAGGAAATCTACATTGAAGATTGAATGTAGATTTGAGGAAGGGAACTGTAACCAGAGATTGATAAAAAGAAAGAAAACACTAAGAGAAATTGCGGGTTGATGGAATCAGATTTGTGGTGATATTGTACCATTTAATAGAATTCCAGGCTGATTTGAAGTTACACCATTGTCTTAAAATGTTTTTAAAAAAATTAAATAACATTAAATTTAAAATGCATGATAGCTGAGATAGGTTCAGGCAGCCATCGGGACACTTTGGGTTATTTTGGGGCAGCTCCACACTTTCCAATGGACTGGCAGATCCCATACCCTAACTCTGAACATACACTTTTCCTTAATCCTCTCTTTCTTCAGAGTCAAACTTTTGAATGACATACGAGTACATATAATGTCTAAGGTCAAACTTTTATCTTTGTATATATTTTATAGTATATATTTTAAAATATATATACTGTCAGATCAGTGTGCTCTCCTGCAGTGATCACTTTATTCCCTTTGCCGGGGTGAACTACGAGCTGCTTTTGGTGCAAACCCTACGAGAAAAGGGTTTTGTTCATATTATTAAAAATAATCAGTTCCGAAATTTGTGTGATCTTTTGAAGTTTCTCGCATCCTCTCACCTCTTTACTTTGGAGTCATACTTTAAATGACTCACCAGCGCATTCGCTGGTGAGTCCACCCACAGTCCTTGAGTTTTCTTATATTCACTCATCCAATAAATGTTCTGATGATGAAAAGAAAGCGCTATCCAGCTTTTTAACCATTAATGAGTTTACTTCAGCATGGAATCATTTCTGACAAATAAAAGCACATTATATTCTGTTTTGTATGCAAAGGTAGAGCTCCTCGGCTGACAGAGATTTAAATACAAGTTTTAATCTAAGACAGCTGAGTGACACTGGAATCTCAAAGCGTTTGCAGTGTCACTCTGCAAAAAACAAGGTATAATTATTTTTTAATATATTTGTTGTTTGTTTAATTCTGTCTTATTGGCTTGCAACTTGTGCTATCATCATTAGGCTCTGCAACGACATAGACAGATGGCTGATAATGGTCTCCACTGAAATGACAGTGGCTCACATTCAATTAGACAGTGATGAATTATGTGATGACTATGACCTGAAAAGGAGTTTTAAAGGTCACAAGAGAGCTTATGCTGTGGTCTTACTATTGGCCCATAACCTGTAACTGGAAGTTGAGTGAATAGACTAATATTGAAAATGTATGTTTCGCAGTCCTTTGCTAACTTTTACAGTTAATAAAGTTAAAGGGAGGTAAAGTCCTCCCACTGATTTTGTATCCATCCCAGTGGGTGAGACATACAGCAAGTATTGTGTTTGCACAATTCCAGTAATGTCTTTATACACTTTTCACACGACGGCCGTAAATCAAAGCTTTTAGTTCATGACTAATGCGACCTGCTGAATTTCATTCTGAGCACGAAAATGAAGAGGAGAGGTGATTTAGGTAAAACTGGTTCCAGACGGGTTGGCCTTGATGATGACAGGGGTCAGATAGGAGGGCAACTAACTCATATAACTATTCTTATACCCAAGGTGTGCAGAAGAAGATCTTTGAACACACATGCTGAAGCTTGAAGTAGATAAGCTACAGGAACAGAAGGACCACATCAGTCGCCCCTCCCCTCCTGTCAGCTAAGAACAGGAAACTAAGGCTACAGTTCACACAGGCTCATCAAAACCTGAACAACATGAAAGCATCGGATCCATCCTGCTTTGTCTTGGTAGTTCTGGTGGTATGTCTGCTGGTGGTGACATAATAGTGTGGGCATCATTTAAACATCACAGCCTAAATCAGTTTTGTTGCTGACCATGTCCATCCTATTATTAGAAGTTCAAATCATCTCAAACGAATTTCTTGAAAATGAGAGTGAGTTCCCTATACTCACATCTTTTGGGATGTGGTGGAATAAGAGATTTCCAGTACCTTGTTGAATCTGTGCAATGAAGAATTAAGTCAGTTCTGAAGGCTAAAGCGGGCACAACTCGCTGCTACCTGGGTGTGCTTAATGAACTGGCCGGTGAGTGTATATGTGACTCAAAGAGATCAATCAGCTAAATCAGTTTTACATATCTTAAAATAATTAAGGATTAGAATCATAAGTCTTTAAGTTTATAATTATGAATTGATTCACTGTGGCTCAAAAAGTTATTTTATTACTTTGCACATGGTTTATGATGTTATTAATGAATTATTAATACAAAAAGGACCCATTAGATTTATTAAGTCAACTGACTTCTGATTGATTACCTTAAACTACTAAGAACACACAAGTTTCACATGTATATTAAATTTAATTCAATTCAAGTTAAAGTTATCAAAGCATAACATATCAAAGACCACCAGGAATCAAGATCAGGAGTAAGTCTATATTTTTAAAAACCTCAACCAAAGAAACATACTTTTATTTTTTTCATACTGTGTGACACGTTTCTTTGGTATGTTGAAACGCATGGCAGTGTAGTTTATATGGAAGAACTGAGTACATCAGAGGGACGGCTCAGGCTGAGCAGTTTGGAGACAAAGTCAGAGAGACGAGGCTGACATGGTTTGGACGTGCAGAGGAAGGATAGTGGACATATATGTAGCAGTGAGGAGGGAAAGAGAATGACCACAGAGAAGATTCATGGATCATGAAGGAGGACACGCAGATGGTTGGTGTGACAGAGGAGGATATGCAGTTTCCATTACATGCACAACTATAATCATTAACATATCCAAAAACAAAAATTTTCGGACTTTTCCAGTATAAAAATACTGACCAAAACGTTATCCTTATTATGTAAGTTTCATACTAAAATAAAGTGTTCGTTTCTTTCTTACTCCTGTTCTGCCGCCCCCCTAGCCACCGCTACGTATTGCCAGAGGAATCTGGCATGGCTGCTGATTTGGCCTGAAGCAGCCAAATATCAAAGAACCCCTGTCACCAGGATGCCTGCACCACAGGGAAATCATCACACAGGGAGACACTGGCACTAGCTGTTTATTTTCATTAAATGCGGATAAAGATTTTTTAAGCGGAAGCTGAGAGAAGATGATGCATGCGCATGGAAAATGTTTTAACTGGAAGTGCATGCAAGGGACGTTCTTCAAAGATTCTTCTTCAAGGTGTATCTGTGACTGTGGAGGAGCAGCAGTGGGGGGCACATCTGTCCTTGCACCTGATAAGAAATAACTTTTGGTTACACCACCCATGCTGACCAGCGGTGCTGCAAAGCTAGGATACATTATTCAGACACACAAACATATGCACTTATAGAAAACCCACACACGCACACGCATACAAGCCTTTGTTGACTGGTGAGATCTCATCTCCCTCTGATCTGTGAAGAAAGTGTTGTCCCCACCCACGGACCAGACAGTAAACAAAAAAATCACAAAATGCTGCAATGTCTGACAACAACAAACAGATGCCAGATCTGAGACGCCAAACAAACATCTACAGATTATCCACGCGCTCTGTTCTTTATCAGATCTCATTATCAGTCACTGCTGATGTCACTATTAACAAGGCGTGCATGGTGGAGGGGGAAGAGGTTGAAAATAATAAAAGACTGAAGGACCTGCTTAGTTTTTAACAAATTTTTAGACTGACCATTTTCAGATACACTTTTTTCAACTATTAACATTGACCGTAAGAATAGCACCTAACTCAAGGGATGAACCAGTGCTGTGTATATGCATAACAGACAGCTCAGCAAAAAATCGAATTTAAACTGTATCTTTGGGCACTTTCTTACCAGCAAAAATCATTTCTTCCCATTTCTTCAGTGGATGAAGAATGACAACAATAACACAGTTTGTAAGAAAAGGTCTCATGGAGGGATTAATCTAAATGTTAAAATTTTGGTTCAAATTATCATCAGTATGTACAGAGCAGGTCAGGAGAGCGGTACAACAGTGAGTGTCTACAGCCACCTGTGAAACACAGTGAAGGCTCCGTCTTGGTTTGGAGATGGATTTCAGCCAGTGCTGTTGGGAATGTTCTCAAAATTAATGGAATTAGAAACTCAGCAAAATACTCTCAGATACTGATCCACAATGAAAATATCATCTGGAGTTCATCAACAAGTTCATCAACAAGAAATTCATTTTTTGTCGTGACATGATCCCAAACTCACTGACATCACAGTAAAATCATACCTAGATTATTAGTTATGGACTGGCCTAGCCAGTTCGGACACATTCAAAGAATAGCTTTAAAGGCCCTTCGATAAGCAGTGAGCAGAAGCTCGTAGACTACATCTCGGACTACGTCTTCATCTTAACTCCTTAATTTCACAAATCTAAATATTCCCTTTACAGTGGCACTGGGGGGTGCTCCTCTGTGACCTCTGCGCTTCGCAAAACGACCGCTAAGCGACGCTGTTTCCTCTTTTCCGTTTCTCCACGCGTCTGTCGGCCAGCTCCTTCGGGATCACGTGACGCATGTGACCGAGCAGTATGGCGGACATGCATGTGGAGCCTCAAAACAAATTGTACCGTTTGTTCAGCTAACCCCGCCGCGAGGAAACATCGATACCGCGCGCGAAGTCGGGCCGGCGGTGGCCGAATGGTCAGCAGGATGGACGAGGACAACAAACTTCAGTTTCCGTCTCTGCCCGATACCAAGGAGGACCTTCTGGTGAGATCCTGTATTAGCCAACATGTCCACTGTGTCTGTCTGACCAGCTAATTTGAGCTAGCCTCCACGCTAGTTTTACTTTCTGGCAGGGAACAATGTAGAGAGGGCGATATATGTGTGTGTGTGTGTAGTAGTTTTTGGGAGGGTGACGTGTTAATGTAATGTGTGATAATGTGAGAGCCATTCTCAAAATTGTCTTTTAATTAGTCTTTTGCGGCGTTTCGGCACTGAGTAGCCTACTAGCATTAGCAATCAGCGTGCATAAAGTAAACTAGCATTCAGCTGTCGTTTAATGGTAGGAACACTTGCCACATCTTTTAACATTGGTTTCAAATTCCCATTTTTTTCCAGGATTGGGCGTATCCGATGAGACGAGATATGCAGGTGTGTAAGGATGAGTCTGTTGTTTATAGTGGCAAGTTTAATCTTGACAGTTGAACGTCTTTAGTCTATTCCTATGGTAAATGCGGCTTTAAAGTTCTTAAAACATTAATCTGGAGACAGAACAATGCAGCAAATTGTATTTTTAATCATTATAGTTACTGTTTAAACTTTAATACAACTTTGTTTGGCTGTCGTGGTACTACTTTGATGATGTGTGTACATTTTATGACCAGATGTTTACATACATGCCTTATGGGTGCATACATCTGTAATGACTTGGGTGAACAGGTTCCTTCATCGAGTTCACTTCTTATTTAGATTCCTTAACGATTCTCATTTGGTGCTCATCAGCACTAATGTCAGAGTCAATACCATCACTAAGCAGCATATCAAAAACATTATATTTGTGCAAATCAATTGTATGCTCTGGGTCAAATGTTTGTGCATTTTGGAGGTATTTCCCCTCATCGTTGTGATCAGTGCTGGGGTCGTTTACCAGCGCAAAGAGACTTTAAAGCGATCGCCCAAGTGATTCTCCTGTATGACCTGAGGCTCCAGTCTGACTGCTCATCACTGCTTTTGCCCGAACTGTCACCCTAAAATGAGAGATAATTGGTTAGGATGTTCAGGATTAACCCAGGAACCATCAAGGCTCAAGCCTGCCATGAACTTGACTGAACAATTTGTCGCTGCCAACATGGACAAGCCAAATGCCCCCTGGAGAAAGGTTTTATTGACAGACAACAAAGATTTAGCTATCTGGCCACAATAGCAGGAGGTGTGTTTGCAGAAGTAAAGCAGAGGCTTTCAAACCTAAGAAAACTGCACCAGCTGTCAAACACGGTTGTTGTAGCATCATGCTTTGAGGCTGTTTTGCTACCAGTAGTACTGTTAGTGGATGGAGTAATCGAGGAGGAGGAGTACCCTCAGAATCATCAACAGCTAGCTGGTTAAAACTTCAACGCCATTGGGTTTTCCGGCAGGACAGTGATCTCAAACACACATCAGGGCTGTTAAATGTATAAAGCAAGCTAACTTTAAGCTTCTCGAATTGCGTTCCCAAAGCCTCAAATTCAACCTAATGTAAAATTAAGTGCTTAAAAGCAGAGTTCGTGCCAGGAAATTTAAATGAACTCTATGCATTCTGCCAAGAAGAGCAGCCAAATATCCAGGAAAAAATTTACCAGAAGCTTGATGATGGCTACCAAAAGCATCCAGTCAAGGTATACTTTGATAAGGGACATTTAACCAAAGATTAGTTGGGTGTATGTATATTTTTGACTTTGTGTGGAACTGTGGAAAATCCAAAATTATAATTAATTCTTGTTCACTCAATTCTTTTTATTTGTTTTTTTAACCATCCCAAGAACTCATTAAAAGCTCATAATTACCATGATTCATGCCCTTGATGAGTGTGTGTAAACTTCTAGTGATCACAGTAAAATGACAGTGTCCAGATATAAAATCCTTTGTTAAAGATGAAGAAATGTTGGTGCCTGTGTTGTGTTAATGTTTGCTGTATTCTATTCAGGAGATTTTACCAGGACTGTTTTTAGGTCCCTACTCTTCTGCGATGAAAAGCAAGGTAGTTGCTGGAGGACTGATTTCATTGATTTCTCTTGGATATGGAGACACAAATAAAATGAATGCATTCAACCCTCATTTTACTTATTCCTCTATGTCTAGCTGCCAATTCTCGAAAGACACGGCATAACGCACATTGTGTGCGTCCGCCAAGACATTGAAGCCAATTTTATCAAACCTAATTTCCCTCACATGTTTAGGTAAGTAAGGGCTTCTGTGATCTTTGCGCAACATTGGTACGTTTCTGAAACAGGGAGTTTTATTTCATCATGCGTTTTCTTGCAGATACCTTGTGTTAGATATTGCTGACAATCCAGTGGAAAATATAATCCGCTTTTTTCCTATGGTGAGTAAAGAGGTGGGGCGTGTTGTCTGGGAAAGCGCTCTTTCGCTGAAAGGTGTGGCGTTTACAATAAAATTACATTTTCCTTTTTACAGACTAAAGAATTCATTGATGGCTGCTTAGCAACAGAAGGTAAAGATGCATGCCTTTCCCGTTTCTATTGCCTACAGTGTAAGGCATTTTATTAACAATCTTCTGTTTCCTTGCTCTTTCAGGAAAAGTACTGGTTCATGGTAATGCAGGGATATCAAGAAGGTGAGCCTACATTTGTTCTGTATGCTGTAATTTCACCTCGTGCATTAAAGGGCATCATGTACTGTACTGCCAAAGCTGTGAAATTCTAAAATATGATTGGCTCATGCACTGTTTTTGTTTAGGCGAGTGTTATATGTGATATTTTTTCAGTTTACAGAGCAAATTGCATGTAGGATAAAGTTTTGCGAAAGTCTTGAGCAACCCTTCATTTTCTTATATTTTGCTTCCACTGATCTTGACTTCTTTTTTTGTTTGATTTGAGAAATAGTTCTCATGGTCTCTCAAACTTCCTCTTTGGCAACTGGCTGCTTTTCTTTACTCCTTTTTAGTCCAGCCCATCAACCTCATCAATTTCAGAAGAATTTTTTTTTTTTGTTTAAGGTAATTTTTAAGAGAGAAAAATTACACAAGAACTGGACTGAAAATCAGTGTCAGCAGGTCCAATTTTGATATTTTTGGTTCAAATTCTGGAGGTGGTCAGATGAGCAATGCAAAAGCAAGTGTCTACAGCCATTTCTGAAACACAGTGAAGGCTCTGTAATGGTTTGGGGTTGTATTTCAGCCAGTGGTCTTGAGGACCTTGGTGGGATTATGAACACAGAAAAATACTGTCAGATTTTCATCTGTCATGCAGTACCATCTAGCAGTGGTTGTATAGTGTAGTGGGTTACACAAAAGGTCAGCAGTTCAATTCCAGCCAGAGACACAAATTCCCTTTCGTATTGTGACAGGAAGGAAGGAATATTGTGTAAAACTGTCAAATCTAGTATGTGGTGTTACCACAGCTGATATTTGCTGTCATGCAATACCATCTGGAAAGTGTCTGATTTGTAGCATCTTCATTTTTTTAGTACGTCAATGATTCCAAACACATTGTCAGTGCAGTAAAAATATATACCTGGACAGAAAAAAAAATCGCACAGTGGAAAAATATCAGTCATGGATCGGCCTTCTCCAAAGCCCGGAGCTCAGTTTTATTGAGACAGTGTAAGATCATCTTGATGGAACCCAACAAAAGGCAGTTAACATCCAACAAAGAGCTTTGGCGCGTCCTTCAAGAAGCCCAAAGATTTTTCCATTATTCTGTCAAAATATAAAGAAGGGTGACTCAAGACATTTCACTGTACTATACACCTATGTTGCCTTGACATCATGACACGCCTTTAAAAGTGAAATAATGCTCTTCCTGAGTGTCCATGCAAGTCCTATTATTAATGGACAACCTTAGCATGACTTACCCTGGATCTTGCCCAAAGTTAACTTATGTGGGCTCCAGCTCTGCCACAATTTAATTAGTCCATTATTTCTTTGTCTAACTCTCTAACGTGGCTTAAAGGAAATATATTACACGAACTGATGCACCTTTTGTACCACTTAAGTAACCAAGTTTACTTTTATTTGTTCTTTCAGTGCTGCCTTAGTGATTGCATATCTTATGGAAACATTCGGTATGAAATACAGGTGAGTGTTTTTTCCTCACAACAATGTATTGCTTACAATTTCTGCACATTGTAAAACTAAGCTGACTTTATTACATGGATGTAAGTGGACTGCAGCATAATTGTTATAATATATAAATATACTGGATAGAAGCACAGGAAGCAGTTGCTGGTAGAGACACTGGCTGTATCCCAATTCAGGGTCTGCAGCCTTAAAGTACGCATTTCAAGGCCGATTACGTCACAGCGGCGTGCCGAAGGCTGTCCCAATTCAAAGGCTGCTCAAAATGTGGCCCTGAAATGCATCCTTCATTTCCCTGAATTTTAAGGCTGTGGCAGTGTAGACTTCGTGGCCCAACATATCCCAGAATGCATAGCGCGGCAGTGGGTGTGGATAATTTTGCCGAAAAAAAACGGCAGATGGGGGGGGCGCCCGAAGAGTAAACTTTAAGTAAGTACTGAATATTATGTCACTTATTTATGTGCAAATGTTTAATAAGGGTAGACCGTCCCATTTCACAAGCCTCGCACTTCCAGCCTTAGCGGTCTTTGAGTACGCGGCCCTTGAGGATCGTTGAGGCTGCGTACTTTAAGGCTGCAGACCCTGAATTGGGATACAGCCAGTGTTGCTTGCAGAGGTTTCATGTTTTTCCTATTTCACTCTGTAGGGAAGCATTCAGCCATGTTCAGGAGAGGAGGTTTTGCATTAATCCCAATGTGGGCTTTGTGCATCAGCTACAGGTAAGCTCATATTTTAACCTTTTAGAATATCCTAATACCCTAATAATCATACTGTCTGCACATGACTGTAATTGGTCTGTATTAATAATATTGCTACTGCAGCAGATTCACTGTGCCCCCTTCATTTTCCTTTGAAAGAAAGGCAACATTTATATGATGGCATTGGATAAAAAGTTGCATACACAGAAGAAATACAGAATCACTACAGCCTGTGTTGTTATACTGGTTCATTTTGCTGTTTTTGCTTTCTTGTGTTTTCTTATTCGAGGCTGCAGAAATGATTTTCCCATGTTTCCTACCATATATCATCTCTCTTTAGTCTGTCTTGGCTGGCCACACAAGTGGCTTGCTAATTTAGTTGGCACGTGTACTTGTTGTGTTTTCAAATTAAAGTAAATGTGTTATCACACAGTTATTTTTTTTACTCCATTAACTCAAAACAGAAATTGTGGCATGGGCTCATGAATACTGCCACTGTAAAGTTTTTGAGCTTCATTAAGTAATTAACTGAGCGTGTAAGAAGTCAGCCAAGAGACAAGCAGTCGGAGCTTCAGGCACGACTGTGTAGCTGTTGTCATTCCTGTGATTTTTACAGCTGTATTTAAATTTGATTTTCTTTTAAAGGAATATGAAGCAATCTACCTAGCCAAACTGACCATTAAAAGGATGTCGGTGCAGTTGGACAGGCCGTTCTCACTACAAGCTGGGATGCCAGGTTTGTATTTAACGTACCCAGTTTTGGAAAGAGACACACGTCCCATTATTTCTTGTTATTACTAAACCAATGCAGGTAAAGCATTTGGTTACAGCTTTAGCACAGCGGAAATAATAAAAAAATATTTCATGTTAAAGAGAATTCAAAGCAGTGTCGATGGGTCCATTGTGCCATTTTGGCATCCATTATCAGACTTTCTCAGGATCATTAACTGGTGATGTGGTAATGGTGGGTTACTCATTTGTAAAACGCTGCTTGATATGTTTGACTTTAAAGAAGGCTTTCATTAGAAAAAAAAAAGCTAGCTCCATTGTGACTCATTCTCAACTGATAGCATTCATATTTTCTTTGGGACTTTATTACTATTAAACACATAACATTCAGGCATGTGTAGGTCTAGGACTGACTCATAATTTCCCTCAGTTATAATTTATTGGTCTGAATCCCAGCGATTTCACTTTCCACAGGCGACAGTGTTCACGTTTGGAGATTATAGGCGACGGACTTTGTGTTGCCGTTTTGTGATTGTTCATTTTCTTTTCTATAATAGGAAGCCGCAAACGCAGCCTGGAGGAAGATGAAGATTTTGGAGGGATGCAGGTCACAGCTGCACAGAACGGATGAGCTTTGCTGATAATGTTTGCTGTGTGGCAGAGTGCACTCGATTCTTTTCTTTCTTTCTTTTTCATTTTTAATGGGATTAAAAATGTAAATATTTGAACTTTTTCTAAGGGGAAGGGATCGGGCCAGGACAGGAACTACTCATGTCTGAGACATGAAGTACTAAAGGGGACTGGGAACAATTTGATAACTCCTTTCTTTCTTTTTTTTCTTGAGCTGTATGCACTGATGGGGGACTTTTTCTTTTTTGCAGTTTTATAGTATTTAAAGCATTTTGCATTTGCAGCGGGACAGTATTGCAATAATGCACTTTCGATACTTGAATTTGTGTAGACGAACAGGTGGGGAAAGTTGGCAAAAGGGAAAGTAGCCAAGATATTTCCCAGTTAAGGACATGAGAAGAGGAATAGCTACGCCTTTATTTCGGGAGTAATAGGGTTATGGACTAATATCAGACTTAATATGGGATAGTAAGGAATAGAAAACTCACTGCTTAATAAAGTCCTGAGTCCTGTTCAGCTGCGTCCTCATTTCTGCTCTTCACTGCTTTTATTAGAGTGCCAATAATAAGTCACATTTAAGATTCCGCAACAATAGTTACTGTAGGTCACTCTATAGTGATGCTCGATAATTAAACATCAGCAATGTTGAAACAATATTGCATTAAGAGCATGATGGAAGCTAAATCCCCATTTTAGTATCATTTCCTCTGATTGACTAGACCTGATACATTAATCTCAAGTGAGAAGAGTATGGGCTGTTTCTTCATGATACAAAATCAGTTTTAACTGAGGATAAACTGATTTCATTTATCCCAGCTGACTGGGTGAGAAATGCACCTTTGAACAGGTTGCCACTCCAACACTGGACTAACAGTGGGACAGTGCCACACCTACAACCAATTTCAGCATCTTGCCCAAAGACTTCACTTCAAGACACTGGAGAATCGGACACCACCTCAACCACAGCATACCAACGTTTTTGAATTCCACCACCATCCTGACCTCCAAAAACAACACTCCAAATATCTCAAATCAAGTCTTTAGTTAAAACATGGAGCTGCCTTTTTTGTAGAAATAAAAAAGCAAAAAAAACAAACGACCTTAGGCCAAAGATGATTTTATTTGACTACACGTTTTGAAATAAATTACATTAAATATGTGCCCCCTCTCTCCAGGATAAAAGAATAATTATAAAACTTAACTAGAAAAGCTTAAATAAGAGTTAATTTAGAAAAATCATTATTACCCACTTCCCATTACAAAAACCGTTAAATGCTAATCCCATTTGGCAATTTAAGTCAAAACTTAACAGCATGTTAACAACTTACCAGTACCTCAAAATATTTTTCCTCACTTAATGTGAAACTTTATAACAGTCTTCATTGTAGTTCTTGTAATTTAAATTTGATTAGTTACCCAGCTACACATAATCTATATGACACTGCATCTTGTACCAAGTAGGATTAAACAAAACAAAAAAAGTAAAACAAATCTTTTGTTCTAAACAAGTTTAGTTTTCTGGCAGCCGTCTGTCAGTTCAATCACAATCTACAATTAATTCTTAAAGCATATTTGGTTTTGAAGTTGCCTTGTAGAGTTGTCTGTTACCTGTAGATTGTTTTACTTACATAATAAGTAATATAACTTCATTTGGTATCATCCTGATCTCCCACATAGCTGTCATTACTTACAGTTGCATGGAAGTCACATATATAAACTGTTCTTTCACTGGTACATGGAAAAGAAAAACTTTAAGCAATTTAAAGAAAGAAAATAGTATTTTTCTTTTCTAGATGATGAGATGTCAGGTCCACCCTGGTGAGGTAGCCACGGTTACCAAAAGGACAAGGGATTGTGTTGCACTGAGCTTGAACATTTGTAAATGTTTACTCGAGTGTGCTGAAATCATGATAAGTGTTCATGGATGACTCAGCTGTGACACAACAGCAACCTCATCCACGGGAAGCTCCAGTTCTTAAGACATTCTGCAAGTTCTGATTATCACCGGGCGTGCAAAGGTACAGTCCGTTTTTCCCAAAACAGATTTTTGTTGTTCTTTTTTTTAAACTTCCGTTCTCAGTCAAAAAATCGACACTGCATGTAGGTCTCGTCTGACGCAGAGTAGCCAAACTTCTGGTAAAAAGCCACGTTTTTGGGTGCACATTCAAGAGTGATTTTATAGCAATTCAGTTTTTTGCTGAGAAGAGTAAGAACCGAGACTAATCTGTTGGGATAAAGAAGAGAAGTGAAAAGTTTTAAAAGCAGAAATCACAAGATATAAACTATTCAAAATATAGAACTGTCTTTTGATATGTTGGGCAATATGTGAAATATTAAAGACAAGCCAAAGCCGTGTCTTGACTCACAGTTTGCCCAGCTGCTTCCCTCGGCACACATCGCTGACGACGACCTCCTCCACCCGGCCTCTCTACAAATAAATATTATTTTAATTTTCTAATTGTCAAGATTAATAAACATATATGTATCTCTACAATGTAAGCTGAGCTTTCCTAGTAAAGGAAATAAGAGCGCATTTTGATTTGATAAATTAAATAATTATTAACCAGTTTAATGACCATATACTGGGTTAATAATTAAATATTAGTGTTGTAATTACCACTACATTAATCAGTAACTTTTTTTACGTAACTGGTGATAAGGAAAACACAGGGAGAAAAAAACAAACAAACAGTTGTGTACTTGAATATACACAAATTTGTGTAGGGTATACTGTACTTTGGCACAGGAGTGGATGAATTTGTGTTCAGTGATCAGTGTTGCCGTGGCCACGATCTGACTCAGATTTGTATCCTCCACCACGATGACATAGTAATCTCCAGTCTTCTTCATGTGCTCAAAATTCTCTGTCAAAAAATAAACAAAATGTGTGTTTATGAATCATCACTCATACTTTAATTAGTTTGTTTTCTAGGATATTTCTTTAAATATATATGATCTGCTGTCTAAGACACAACAATAGTTGTGTTAAATTGAAAATTAGTCATTCACTGTTAACTGAGTGTCATTCAAAATGACACTCAGTTAACAGTTTATGTTCCAAACTTAATTATCTCACTTTTAGAATATTTATAAGACAAGTATGACTTACTAGTGAACTGCTCGGGTGTGACATCGCCTGTCTTGGTGAGCTGAGATAAAACCTTGAAAAATCCTGGAACGAAAAAGAATAAAGAGTTAGTGAAAATTTCTGAATTTTAACCCATCTCCTGGGAATTTCTGAGATGTTTCATATTATACCCCAAGAAAAAAAAAGCATACTGGTGTGGTTTATGCTGTACAGACTCACCTCTGTTGAAATCTGCCATACAGAGTGGCCTCAGCACCAGGCCTTCCCCTGGATTGCATGGTGAGATTGGGGGAGAGAATGAGGCAGTGTTGCTGCTCCAGTCTAGCTCCCGAAGCAGAGAGGGCTCAAAAAGTGGAGTCTCGTCCAGCAGCATACCAAAATCTCTGAATGGAAAACATGCACAGAGAGATGAGTTCAGGGACACACACCCAAAGAAGTATGTGGGCAAGGCAGTACCCAACTTATTTGGCTAATGAATTGATACAAGTCATAAAAATCAGCCTGGACTGAAAGAGCGTGTGCTCTGGTCATACAGAACTTTGACCTGACAGTTTCACTTGTTAAAACGTTTCCTCAGGGTTCACGGGTATGCTTCGGAGGTTGACAAACCAGCTGACACACCCGCGTACAGATAATGATACGTTTCCTGATGATTCATGATCTGTTCTCCAGGACAGGACCCGGGGCCTGACCAGGATATGTAATATGAGAGGGCTTTACAGAGCAAGGGAAGAAGGTAACACTGTCGCTGTTGCTGATGGGAGTCACTCTGAGACTTTCTGCGACAGAGTTTCCTACTTCTACCACAGGCGTCCTAAATCTTGTTTCCATGGCAGCACCATAAAACATTACACTTTTACAAGCGTAATCGTTTCCCGGTTGAGCACGGCAAAGAAATGAGGGCAAACTGCCCATGTTCACTAAAACAAATTACAGTGCAGCGACCACAATGCTTTAGCTAACTAATGTGACGTTAGCTAGCCAAACGAAACTTGGGTTATTGAAACATACTTTGCCAACTAACCCGGCAAAATACAGGCGTATGTAAACAGTGTTTCTCCTATACTGTTAAACGTCTACACGAGGCTACCTACCTTCATGTAAGAAAACTTATACAGCCGAGTTAGTGTCGGAGCTGTATCCTCACATTTCATACCAAATGATAAATTTAGCGTTAGCTAAGCAGTTAGCCACCTGGCAGCTACTTACCAAGTAAAAGCCAACACAGCTAGAGATGGTCCCTCGGAATCCCCACAGTGAAATAACCTGCAATGGTCTTCTCTACTATAGTTTTGAATGAGGCTGCGCTACATCATTGAGCTGAACACTGTGGCTGCCTTCAGCATTCATTTCCGCTTGGCACTAGCCCTTGTGTATGACGTGGCAAAGATGCAGAGGCGCAACCAACTGACGTCAATTGATTAAAAGAAATCCAGATGCCAATAGTTTTCCACAATACATCATGCATCCATGCTTTGTGATGGGCTTGTATACTCTCATGAGAGTTTTGTACAGAAATACAGTTGTTTTCTGTCAAAAGGAGCACAAAAAACATACTGATGTGGTTTATGCTGTACATGTACTGCCCACTGGCAATACGTTTACCAGCTGTAGTTCAGATCCATGTGACTGCATCGCCGCACTCTAAGAACAATAATGAGCTAAATTAAAATGGATGAAACAAGCTCTTGATGGCAGAGGTATTTTTAACTCTTCCCTATACTGCCAGTATGTGTTGTTTAATACAACTGAAGCACTGTTACTCATAATTATACATAAATATTATCCAGTAAGCTACCGTTGTGATCAGAAGTTAACATGTAATCATTATAGATATCTGACCACTCTTTCCGGCAGAATTGGAAAAAAATGTTTATTTAAATGGGTTGATCACCTGGCACAGACCTGGCTTTTAAGTGTGGTCTACAAGTTTTCAGTAGGATTGAGGTCAGTGCTTTGGGAAGGCCATTCCAGAAAGTTGGTGCTAGCCTGCTTTATCTGTTCCAAAACCAGTTTTGATGTGTGCTTGTCATTGTTATCCAAGTTTCAACCATCTTGCTGTTGATTTCAGGTGAAGCTGATCATTCTGGAGGTAGTCATTATTCCATCCACTTTTTACAACCACTGTACCACTTCCACTGATAGCAAAACAGACCAATTAAAGAAAACCTTTCTCTATTTAACAATCTCAACCTCACTTGTTGAACTTGGGAATTGAAAGGTTAGGCTGCACTATTAGGACTGGAGGTTTACATCTGCAAAGTAAAGCCAGAAATCCACGTTGTCTCAATAAACAGAAGAAAAAGAAAACCCAGTAAACAAAGGATACAAACCATCATTTGTTAAAAAGCTGTAGAAGCTGTTTATTGAGTCTTTTATATTAACATATTTTACAAAAACTAGATTTACAGAAATTATCCATAACTGAACCATCTTGATTTAGGCACAAAAATACCAGAAAGCTCAGTCCAAAAGAAAATATTTAAATTCTGATTCCATAGTTAATGATTATGAAAGGTAATCCATGCATAGGAAAATATATCATGGATTTTAAAAGTTGCTAAGTAACTGAATGAAAACCAAACTGTCCAGTTTTAGGTTGGTTTTTTTTTTGCTTTTTTTTAAATTTATTTAAACATGTTGAATAATTAAAATCTTTAAACTAAAATCCTATGCTGTATCTTATTACAACACTCAAAACAAAAAGTCTGAGCAATAAAATGAGCACACAAAGATAACAACACTTCAGTTTTAGTGGAAGTTTGTGGGCTGTTCTTTGGGATAAAGTTGAAGAAAACATAATCACTTTTATAGATGCATGCATATCTCACCCCAAACTGCCTTTTTTCATTGTAATGATAGAATTCAAACACACTTCATCATTATATCTGTCGATATGCATCAACCAGCTACAGATTCAGTGAAATATACCAATACCCAAAAAGCCTCTACGGCTACGTTCAGTTTGCACAGCTGTGCATTTTCCAAAAAAAAAAAAAAAAAAAAAAATTAAAACCAGCAGGTGATTATGTTCCCCCACTAGTGTAATTTCTTAACTAGTATTCAATGTAAATAGACAAAAGGCCAATCAAATAAAAAACCCGAAAAGTTTATTCATGAAGATTCTCAGTCATTCGGGTCGCAGAATATTTAAACAAGGAGAAAACCAGTTATTTGCTAAGAACTTCATTGGTTTTGCTACATATGCAAGAGGCAACACTATTTCTAGCAAAAGAAGAAAGGGTTCACCGATAAAACTGACGAAGCCTCTTGAATTGGTGGCAAAACAAGCAAGTTAAAATGCACCACAGAAACTCCATCTGTTGCAGACTTGACAATTTTTGCCTTTCTCAACAGATAAAGATGACCGACACACCCATTAATCAACAGAATAAGATATTTTTACCGTGCAGAGGTTCCTGTAGGAAAGACACCACATGTAACACTCATTGATCATAATGTAATACATCCCTATTTTCTGCATATGCATCGCAAAGGGACCGGTTTTGGGGGAAAAAAAAAAATAAAAATTTACAGGCCCATTTCCCCATCTTGTTAAATAACAAAATGCAAACAGGTGATATTACACACTAAATAGAAAACAACCCATGCGGGTGAAAAGAAGAAAAAAATAAACAACTTTGTTTGCAGCATTTTTTTCTGATAGAAACATTCATATTTGACAGAAAGGCTGCACAATACTAAAGTGACATTCTCTTGCGCCTATGTAAGAAATAAGAATGTGTTATTTTGCCTACACTTAATTCACAGTTGAAACTCAAAATAACACACAGACACATCAGATGAGTTCCTCCATCCAGAATACAGAATTTTCTGCCATGGGCTTAATATGTGAAAGGAAAACCAAGGCCCATATAACAGCTTTATCTACCAATGACACCTTCAAACCCTTCTCATAAACATCTTCTTGTAATAGTCTTCTGAACGCAAAGCATGCTCGTTTTTTGACAGCCAGTCTGAATCATGACAGCTGCTGACTGTCTATTGAAGCTGGTGGTTGCATTGTGTGGCACATGTATAGAGGGCAATTGCAACCTTGCACCAATCAATATATAGATCATATTCCAAATACTAGGCTGAATTCAGTGATACAGAGGCTATTTACAATAGTCTCACCCTTTTAGGCAGCCTCAAAACCGCTCCACGGCCATGTCTGCAATGGTTTAATTTTTTTGTGTGTTTTGTTTTATAGGTGATGACCACTGACTACACCAAATGGGGGAAAGTTGAAATAGCTCTTGTCAGTGCCTCTTAGGGTAACAATGTACTACACCCTTCTGCTGAAGCCAGAATCAGGGCGCAGGGTCCTGTAGGTTTTGTAGACGTCTCTCTGCAGCTGCCGCCATGGTTCTACGTCTCAGCACAGTTGAGTCCAATTCTGGGCCATCCTCCTCCTCCTCCAGTCCAGGCAAATCTTCATCCTGATCCTCCGAATTTTTGTTCAGATATTTCCTACAGGGATGCAGAAACAATGTAAGGATACAACAACAAGAACTGAAAACCCAAAAGAACGGGGAGGAAACAGAACCAGTAATCCTTACTATTAGTTATCACAGTGTTTCTCCTAGAATTAGATACTTTTAAAAAAATAATAATAATTTACCACAAATGGTAAGGTCCACAACTGCAAATATATGAGTTCTTAGGGGGTTTTGTGTTTGTTTTTTTAAAAACACAGAAATAAGTCAATACTACATTTCCAGTGCCAGAAAGTCAGTTCTGTTTATCTGGATATAGTGTTTTCAGTGATTTTATTGCCCCACAACTTGACTTGGACTGCAGCTTGCAATTGTAGCCCTTGGTCTGCTTTGTAGGATGACAGTGTGCAACAGTGAGCTAAAGCTCCATTTCCATAAGAACTAGCACCACACCTGCTACACTAAGTCAACTAAAACAGAGGAGATTAAAGACTAGGGCTGCCAGGATTAGTCGACTAGTCACGATTACGTCGACGACTAATTTTATAGTCGACGCGTCGTTTGAAGCTTTGTAGGATCCCAAAAGACGAAGGAATAAGTAGTAGGATTTAAGAGTGTAATAACGGACTGAAACAGAAGATGGCAGCACTGCATGTACAAGGATGCCAGCTGCCGTTAAACTTCGAAGAAGAAGAAGCAGTCTCCGATATCGTAGCCGTGTCCAAATTCAGGAACCGCATCCTCCTGTGCCCGCATTTGTAGGCCGATTACGTTACAGTGACACGACGAAGACTGTCCAAATTTGAAGACTGACAAATGCGGCCGATAAACGCGCCCTTCATTTCCCCAGATTTGAAGGATGGGTCTGATGTATACTTCGTGGCCCAACCTATCCCAGAATTCATAGCGCAGTCCTACTCAGTTTCCAACAATGGCAGCAGCTAGTTAGTTTTAATATTACTCTTATTATTCTTTCTGCGTCACAAAATAAACGTTTAACATATTTTCAGGCGAGAATGTAGCTGTGTAAATTTCAAATATCTGCTTGGTTTATCAAGACACCACATATTTTCAAAAGCGCGCTGATGTTTTCGGAGACGTCTGTTACCCACTAGCTCGATTGCTAGCCGGGGTTCAAGGCTCACTAGAGCCCGTGAGAACACCGGACTCCCAGCAAATTGTTTTCAAACCCACCGCCTTCTTTTGCTACTCAGGTTAAACATGATATACAAGTCACTTAGATAACTTAAAAATGTTATTGTTTGGCTTTTTTCAGCATTTTATTTGTTCCTGAGTAAATGGGTTTGGCTGAGATTAAAGTTATAGTTTTTACACAGCTGAATAAACGTCAAGCAGACAACTGATGTGTGAAGTGTGAGATGCTCTTGAATATACTCTGGTGTCCTGTTATATTTTAGATAGCAAGGAGCAGAAGGCTGAGTTTATTAAACTCCACCGAAACAATCTGCAAATTTCATTAAAATTTAATAAACTATCATCTTGTCTTTATTTTTAGTTAGCACAGACCTTAGACACTTAAAGCTGTAAGCTAATGATAGTTATATAAGAGCAGATGCATGCTGGTGCAATAAGCTGTACGCTTTACGTCCAACGGATGCACGATCTGATTAGTCGACTAATCGCAAAAATAATCGGTGACTAGTCAACTATCAAAATAATCATCAAAGGAGCTTGCAAAGAAAAGCGTCTGGACTTCTTTAAGTTACTTGAAGACGTTTCACCTCTCATCCGAGAAGCTTCTTCAGTTCTAAGGTCAAATGGTGGAGAGTCCCAGATATAAACCTAGTGGGAGTGACCCCCCACAGAGGGACAAAAGGACCCCCTGATGATCCTCTAATCGTCTGAGCCAAGGTGTGAAACTGGGTGTGGGTCCCAATCAGCCAGAGTTTCGGGTGAGCTCATTGTGAAACCTGGCGCCACCTTATCGGGACTCTCCACCATTTGACTTCTCGGATGAGAGGTGAAACGTCTTCAAGTAACTTAAAGAAGTCCAGACGCTTTTCTTTGCAAGCTCCTTTGACTACGATGACCTGGATGACTGAGAACCTTCACAGACATATCAAAATAATCGTTTGTGGCAGCCCTATTAAAGACACCATAAAAATACACCTGTGATTAGACGGCCAGCAAACAATCGACAGCTGCAGCACAAAACAGTGGTTTAAGAGCCTATCTGGGGAAGCAGTTGAATGAACTGACTGTCACCACAATGGCAAAGCAGCCAAGCTGTAGGAAGGGAAACTTAAATTTTTCTAAATTTAGACTTAGAAAGTGACATTTTAACATCCAATTTATTCCATCTTGGTTGAAAGAGTGATATAAACTCATCTCAAAACCCAGTATTAAACAGGCACAGAAGTAAAATGACATAGACAGCAGTATAGATAAGCTCTGAAATAATCGGTTATACACTTGATACTGCAGAAGAGATCCTTTATACCCATTCAGAAGCGAGATTGAGAGGCTGTTCTAATAAAGGGTGGAGAAAACTGATCAAAATGTAAAACAAGTGTTTTGCATGTGAGGGAAGAAACATGAGCAGTCTGTTTAAACATGTGTGACAGCTTGAATGTGTTACATACAAGTGTAAAGATGAACAGTTTGACTGCCTAACCTGGAACACAGTTAATTAAATTATAAGAACTTGAGTTAAAGACTAAATATAGTCAACCACATACACAAAAACATTTTGAATATAAAATGTGGAAAACTCAAATTTGTAGAGGAACAACCTGCGTGCTTGCTGAAGCATCTCTTCTTTCCTCTGCTTTAACATCTTCTGCCTCTCCTCTGCAGACTTAGAGAAGCGGCCTCCTCTAACCTCCAAGTTGTCAGATTCACCCTGCTCAGCTGCTCCACTGGGCCCAGGCTGCTCATCTGGTGCAGGATTAACCTGTAAAGGGGCTCGCTCTATGGCCTAAGAGAGGACGACAAACATAATTTTGAGTTATTAATTTTAAGAAACACACAAAACAAACTAACAAGGAAAACTAAGAGCAAGGCATGTCTGCAGAAATCCAATGATAAATAAAAACTGCACTTAACATTTAACCCCAAGATGACTGACCTGCGTAGGGAAAGGCACCTGGATACGTCCCTCCAGGATGTTGTCAGTAGTAACTTCCACAGAGCGGGTCAACTGTAAGTCTTGTAGTACCAGGTAGGAGGGCACCTGAGGAAACATCTCTTGAATCTGATGGGCCTGATGAGCACAAGTACATAAAAAGCAGAGTGAGATGGGGAACACTGGTATAAGTTACAGTATATGTTACATTAAATGTAGTTGTTTTTAAGCCCAAGCAATATTTGAAGTCATAGACACTGACTAAGACATGGAGTGAAGGCTGCAATAATAAGGCGGCAGCAGGGATTTTATGTAAATAAAGTTGTTATAGCCCTAGCAGGGCCTCGTGTGAAATTGACCTCGTGTGGGTGTGTCCTGGCATCTCTCCTGCCTTAGGTGCCACCCTTTTTGTACAGCTGACTCTAAACAGCATTAAGAGTACGATGAGGTGAGAGAAAGGTGAGCTCTCGTGCCGGAGATCCTTTTTCTTTTTTAACTTCTCAGTTTGGTGATCAACTCCTGGGTTTTGTTGTTTTCCTTCTTTAAAAGACTATTTCAGCATCTGTCCCTCTCTGTTAGTTTAATTACTAATAATTAATTTAACAATGCTGCTTTCCCGTCTCCTTTTTTCAACCCGGAAACCTTTTGTTACTTTGCCCACATCCCCTGGACTTTTTAGGAGAATGTAACAAAAGTTTTAAGATCATCAGCCGTCTAAAAAGATCTTACAAGTTTAAATATTAGCCTCAACTTGCAGTCTGTGTATCCTTTCTCTTAAAGACAACAGATTTCAGTAAACTCGAACTCACCATAGCCATAAGCTGGGAGTTATTTGCTTGAGCAATGCCCAAGATGTTAGTAGTATGCATTACTTCTACTGAGAAACTGGGCAGCCAGCTGGCGATACGAGATCCTGTAAGACAAATGCATGGATTTTTAATTTTAGCTGTGACACAGAGCCCATCAGTTTTAGGTCACGTATCCAGCACCCTTACCATCAAAGTGGAAGAAGTGATTGTGTTGGTTGATATGTGGTCTGGCATCTGGGGGGGCTCCAACTGGGCCAATGTTGTCCTCCAAACCCCCACCCTGCTGCGGGCTTCTTGCTTGGCCCCCATCCCCATTAATATTAAGGGATTTCCGACATGTGGGACACGACGTGTCCTGCTCAAGCCATGAGCGCAAACAAGAGCTGAAGAAACACATATACATACCCTAAGTAAGTCGCCAGTCTGAAAACTTGACATGTATCTTAGGGGTCAGGACAAATTTTCTACAGCTAGGCTCTATGCAGGGCATCTTACTGAAGCTCAGAATGTATATCAGAGCTCACAGCAATAAACATTCAAACAAGCAAACTCTACTACAAAAGCTAAGAACTGCTGTGCAGTCTAGTTTACACTTCTCTATGTAAATCTTTTAAGGATTTTGGGAACTACCCTAACGGAAGCTTCAGCCTTTAAATCCTGCTAAATCCAGGATGCCGATATTCTCCTTGGCTCTTTTAGCATTGTTATTTAGGTACATAACACAAATGTTTTCTCAGGACAAATTCAATTTTACTTCATGTGCTGGACAACAAAAAGCATTGCATAACTTCATGTTTGATAAAATAACACAACTCCAAAAATGCCCCTTTCAGTAAGTATAAAAAGTATATTCTGTAGACGTTTGCCTGAGCCATAGCATAGTTGTTGTTTTTTTTATTGTTTTTTAAATCCAAAACCATAACAATATCCCTAATAATTTTCCAGACATTAGAAAGTAAAGCAACTTAAGCCTGAAATCTCTCAAGTGGAATTTCCACTCAACTGTGTCAGTATAGGCCACATACTGACAAGTACTATTTCTAGGGTATAGCACCTCAAAGCAAAGGCAGATAATCCCAACTATAAGCAGTAAAAGTAAAATTATTTACTTGTGGAAGAGATGACCGCAGGGCAGTTTGCGTGCTGTAAGCATGGCATCCCAGCAGATGGCACAATCATCATCATTGGCTGCTAGCTCCTCTGCAGTAGCAACAGCAAATCTGCAGAGTTTATAGTATATGCAACTATTAAGTAAACAAGTAATGATTAGCAAAAGACTGAAAGCACACACGCACACACGCGCACACACACACCTTGTCTCCATGTTATTGATGACACGCAGGTAGTTCTTATGTCGGCGGACACGGCGCTGCACCTCATGGAAGAGATATCGCAGCTGCATGAAGATAACCAAGCTTGCCATGGACAGCCAGATATTCCCGAAAAGCTAATAAGTGAAATGTGCACACAAAGGTGAAAGATTAGTGGATCAGAAAGTCACACTGGGACAGGAAGTGTTCAAAACATGACAGCCATACACTCAGTCATACTGCATCTTACCAGCATATGGATATGGTGCATTAGGTCAAGAAACAGCATGGCCAGCTCCATTATGAAGTCTGTGTAGTAGACATATGTCCCCTTACTCTCCCAAGTCCCTGGATGGTTCAAATCCCAGAGATGAATTGAGTATCTGGAAGAGTAAGACACAGCTCTTTCAGTTCATGAAATGCTGGTGACTTTTAGAAGATCGGTGGAGGCAAAATACTGCAATAAATTAAATGTGCAACAATATACTGTATGTGGTACAATAATGCCAAAAAGACTGAAATTCAAGGTTGAGACAGAACTGTTTTAAGTAACAAAGAAAGAAGAGTTATGATACGGTTCTGATTTCATCATAAGATGTATTTAGTTAAGTGAGTGAAAGTAATCAAAAGCTCAAAAACAAAACTTGCAAAGGTATAAAGAAACATCTTTAAAGGGAAGTCACCATAAACATTATTTTTCCATGCACCAAACAACTGTACTGCAACAGACAGCTGTTACCAGCCAAGGGAGTCAGTACTGTATCCAGTACTGATCCAGGACCTTGGCCCATCAGAGTTGGTGGTAGTTCAATATTAGGAACCCTCTCAAAGACAAAGAAGCCTTTCATAATAGAGCCAATGGAACCAGAGGAAAACAAACAGTTTTATGTGCTAAGATTATCCCAGATTCCAAATTTGCACAGGCTGTCATCCATGCTGCAGTGTGTCTATGAGGCTGCACAGAGACTTACCGCATGATGACATGTCCAGTGCGCACAGTCACCAGCAGACACTGAGGAAAAAAGTAAATGTGAAAATGATGCAACTGTTATGCTCTGCTTTCTACACAGACATTACAGTCTAAAAGAGATAGTTTAAACTCTCATTTACACTAAACTCGGTGGTTTTGTTCACTCACAGACAAACTCTTATTTACTCAACATTGTTGACAGCTTTTACAGCAAATAAGATTATTTTTTTTCCCATTCACAAAAGTGCAGCTGCAAATTGAAAACACTGATTATGCTTCTGCTTCTTCAGGAAACATATACATGAGCCAGAATGCACAACACCAGCAAGAAGGAACCCACAAATGAAAAAGTACTCTTATAATTCTGTGGTGGTGAATCAGAGTCACATTTTAATTGGTTTCTAAGTTCATCAAAGAACTGCATTGATACTGAAAAATGTAAAAACAATTTTGTCCTCTGGAGGGATATCATCTACAAAGCATGAGCACCTATTTCACTAAGTAATTACATGAAAATTAAGGTATTTTTCACTTTAACTGCTGCAATTATTCTCAACCAATCCTGGGTTGAACAAGAATACAAAGCAAATGCATGCTGAGAAGTGTAGTTAGCAAATGTGTATAAATAAATACCTGCACCTAAACAAAAGCTTAAATGACATTAAAAAAAATAAAAAAATAAATCCATAATCATATGTGCAAAGTGTGGCCAAAACTTTCCCACAGCTTGGCTCCAAGTTCTCACCTCTGCTGCCATGAAGGAGAGTGTGTGCATGCCATGAGAAGCTCCCAGGAGGCCGCAGACCACAGCCAGGCCACAACAGTCCAGAAGCAGGGAGACCAGCAGACAGAGCACACGCACATGGCTGTTCATAGGTGTGGATGGGGAGAAAGACAGCTGTGGGGGGGGGAAACAAAGGTAAATGAGTATGCTGTGCTTCTTAATTTTTTCTTCTTATGTCCTAAGATTTCTTTTCAGTGTTTATGCAGGTTAAAGATCATTTCCTCAGGATGGCCTTTGAATCCCACCGCAATACATTTTGTGAAACTTTGTTACCAAAAAGACCCAGCTATAAATTAATTTAGTGGATATGAGTAGACAAAGGAAGTATAACAATGATTTGTCAAACAGTGGAACATTTCACTTAGATGCTCATGAAACATGCTGTTGAAAGAGAGTTCATGTTTTTCACCACTGGCTACAGACAAGAGTTTTAAGAGGCTCAGTAAGACACTCAATTTTTACTGCGACATACTGAGAGAAAATCCTGCATGTACTCTTCTAAATATTACACAACCCTTTTCTATCAATAAAAACGCCTCTCACACAACCACTAAATATCTAAGCATTAGCACAACTAAACTTCTAGCAAAGTGTAAATAACAAAAGATTTGCACATTATTATAGATTATAACTAAGGTGAAAAATATAAAAACCAGCTGCTCGGTATCACAAAGACCACAAGGTTTCCAAGCTAAACCTTCAGCACTACAACCTGCATTTCTTATCTTCACCCCAAAGCAAGAAACCACAGTGACAGGAAGACAGAAACGGGAAACAGCTGGGCAAATAATGGACTACCTCCAACTAAATTTACAGTTAAAGTTGAAAGACGGAAACAAAAACAGCAAGAGGAACACAATCACATCAAAACGAAATGTTTACAATATGGCAGGTTGAAATAACCTTCTAGTATACTAAGGCAGCCAGCATTACATTACGTCTAACTTTGAATGTCTAACTGACATTCAAAACAACTTAAACCTTGTTTTAAATGTCAGCACTTATAAGGTATTTAAATGTGACATTTTGTTTTCCCCACCATACAGAACACAGTCTGATAGAGAGATGTTAGCGTAGTAACTGAAACAGTAGTCACAGTCAACCTCCCAGTATAAAAAGCTATTAATAGATCCCAAGCTGAAAAGAGTACAGTTACACTGTGTCTACTGAGGGAAAGCACACTTTTTAAATAAGCATTTATAGAAAGTGTACAGAAGTATTGCTCAGGTGGATAAATGGCTTAGTGTTTAATATTCAGAAACAGTTAGGCAGGAAGAGAATTAGATTTGCCAAGCTTTGCTGTGGCAGATTTCTATTTATTACATACATACTGAATTACAAAATAGACTGGCACCAGTACCCATGTTCAAGTGCAGAATTAATATCTAATATAGAAAATCTAAATCTTTTAATAAAATTTAAAAAAAAAAAACACCACACACAAAACAAAATGAGGGTAGACGACAAAAAACTGTGTTCCTTTAAAGCACAGAAACAAAAAAATCTCCTGTATATATACACTTTTGCAATTAAGCTCATGATCCATGAGCTTGCCTAATGCCACACTGACCATTTCCTATGATCCAAATAGGAGGGTAATATGGTAAGGACATTGATATACTGTTTCTAACTGATATTTCTTAAGTAACATGTGACTCCTTTTGTAACAAGCAAGAGTTCAAAGAGCTGTGCCGATATCTGGTAAAGAACAAGTAAGGTATATCACCCATAATTACTCTGAGTGATGCACTACTCTCCGATAAGCCACTGAAATGACACGTGTACTTCAGAGGCTTTTAGGAAGCATATACATAATGGGAAAAAATTCTTAAAGCCTATATTTAATCCTACATCCAATAAACATATTGCTCATTTCTTTTCGCTATGAAATCTACACAACTACAACATTGTTAGCTAATGTAGTTTACTCTAACTGTGATCAGATAATCACTGACTTTCTCAGCCCTTGATTCTCATAAATCTAGCTGTTCTCAAGTCTGGCTTCCAACAAATATGAAAAAAGGAACACCACAATTAAGATAATACTATTATTATGCTGCACCCCATGTAAAGAGGAAACTTGCATTTTTAATGATCCAGGGCCCCCTTTTCTTTTACACTGGTTTAAGTCTCCTCAAGTGCCCAAAATCCCCGATCCCCACTAGGTTACAGAAGGTTTAGTTATACTCCATTGAAAAAACAAACAGAAAACTTTGGAAACAGCTTGGCTCAAGGAGTCAAATGCCATAAAACAGAAAGAACCACAGACAATAAATGCAACGTGAGTCTAGTCATATTTGTCTAAAGTGATGCTTAGATTTGATTTTATTTATTTATTTAAATATACTTTTATATACTTACATATTCAAAGCGATCCTTGCAGAGCTGAACCATTAAGTGGAGAAAAACGAGTGCAGAGAACCACAGACACCACATGACCACCTCCTCCACTGTCTGGACATTCAGTACACCAAAAATGAAGATGAACTTGTAGAAAATGAAGTTCCAGAATTTATCTTTCAGGTGCTGATGAACCATAAAAAACAAAAGAGGAGACATGAAATGAGATGAGTGACCATTTGCTTCCTGTTTGAAAGAAGTAAAAACAGCTGTAACAACACAGACTTACCTGCTTCTCACTGACTCTGAGTGGGCCGAACACCACATACTGAATCATTTTAGCAATTAACATCAAAGAGCAGCAGAATGTGTTCACTAACACCTGTAGGTGTGCAGATAATAAGGTCACCATTAGTTTTTGTATGAACTTCATAATCACTTCACACATTGCACTAAAATACTCACCCACACAAAGAGACTGTCTGTGACAAGATACCACAGGACAGTTGTTGCCAGTTCTGTGTTACTAATATCATTCTTTAGAAGTTCACGCTCCACCTCGGAGGGAGGCTGTGCCTCATCCGTTTCCAAGGCCCCAAATCCCGGGTCAGTTACTGTGGTGTAGGCACTGAAGATGCTACCAGCAAGCAAAGCCACACTCAGTGCTGTGTAGGTCTGCAGGCTGGGCCAAGGAAACCTCTCCAAAAACAGCAGAGGCATTGCAATCGCAAGCTACGAGTCAACTTCTCAGCTTGTTAAAATGGTGTCAGTCCAACAACCTGTGAAGGCAGTAGGGACGTTAGGCCAACTTTACGGGACAAAGAGTAAATATTACGCAAATAGAGCAAAGACAGGAGGCGATAGCAGCCATTTCGGCAACGCACGAATTTTGTGCTTTAACAACTTGGACACAAAGTGCAAATGTATCTTTTTAATTTTTAAAAAGTTAGTCTCTCCCCCCCCCAAAAAAAAATAATATACGTTTACTAAACATTTTGGCTTTTTGGCTAACCCACACTCAGCCGCCAAGCAGTGCTAACTTCCTTTTAGCAATAATTACTACCGTGTTTATTTAAGTGGAATATTAATTAAATTAGTCAAAGTAAGTAAAAATGGCTTATCATCATCAACAAGCAACACCTTTACGGAACAAACGGGAGTTCACTCACATAACATTAGTTACTTATCTGGCTAATGTTACCTAACACTTAGCCTAGTGGTTAGCTAATGCTAGCCACCGTTAACAACCATCAAACGCTAGACTTGTATTAAATGGTCACTTACAGTTTGTCACAGATTTAAATAGACACAATATCCGGCTTTCCCTGTTGCAGTCAGTGTTGAACTTTTAGTCCTGTGGCACTGGGAACACGATACTTGACAACATCGTCATGTTTATTTCACCGAGCAGACAGCTGGCTGAAAGCTGAAGCAAGGCTTCCCGTCTGCGCAGCGTAACAGCGTCATCACGACAACTTTAAAGTAAAGGGTCATTACAAAATAAATATCTTCATTCAGCGGCTTAATTTAACAAATAACTCGTTCCCCCGTGATTACGAAAAATGTTTTTATATATTTTGCTTTATTCTTTTGTTTATATTCTGGAAAAATAAATCAGTGTGTAAGCTGTGGGAGTTTCCAGAACACGCAAGAATAGAAGTTATTTCTTGGGATTGGGTGTATTTTTGGTGCAAACAACAAAAATAGAAACGACTTCACCTCTAGGCTAGTGTTTATAGTACAATTGTTTTTACATTTGAAACCATTTTGTTGTACTTTCAAACTGCTTTTAGTGTGTACACACGCTAAGACACTTTATTGCACTGCAATGTTATACTTATCCCCTTAATATCCTGTAATTTTTTTTTATTGTTTTTCTTCTTTGTTTTCTTTCTTAAAAATATATTTAGTATGAAATTTTTAAATATTTTAGTTGTTATTTGAAAGTTAAATGTATGCTTATTGTTAGTTATTGGACTTCAGATTCGTCTTACCGCATTAAGACATTTGTTTTATCATATTTTATTCACATACTTAACTGTATACCTTTCTACATATTTAATCTGTTTGTTTTTAGTGGCTGCAATAAAAAAAAAAATCTAAATTGAAGATAAATTAAGCATTTATCTTACCTTTGTTTTCTGCGTTGTGTATATCAAAACACTAACCTCACATTAACCTTGCATTTTTCAAGGTGTTTTGTGCAATATCGGTAATGTCCACAAAGAAAAAAGATTAAACTATATTTAGTATAGTTTTCCTTGAAATTGCGACACTGAAGCTATATGCTTAGATCTGTTTTGTTGTTGTTTGAAGGTAATATAAGGTGATAACGTTTTCAGGAATTTCATTTGGCATATGTAAAGTAAATTCGTTAAAAGTATTTATAATTTTTTAAAAAAGAGATTTCTTTTAGTTGTACAATTAAAGGGAAATATTTATACCTAAAGTGTTTGAATGTATTTGTTACGATAAAAGAAATTAGTTCCTCTGACTTTGGGTGATACTTACACTACCGCCCAAAGTCCACTGGAGGTCACTGTTTCTTCACTGAATTATATTAAGACAGATAAATACGCTTAGATAATGTCATCGTTCAGAAATTTACCATACATGTTCTTTTACATAAATTGTGTAACTAGTTAAAGTTTCCTCAAATAAATCTGATAAAAGGAGTGGGGTTACTGATTATTGATTATGTAACCAAATAAGTCCCTGCAACAGCAGAATTTAAAAAGGCAATTTATCATATGTCACCCAAGTCACGCAAGTCCACATATGTCAGCTCCACCACAGTTTTATACCGCATGGGCCAAAAGGAAAGACAGGTTTAACATGATATTATTGCCTAATCAGTTGTAGAACTAATACAGCACAGTACAGGTGCTGTAACACTGTTATTATGATCCGCTTGAGGAATTAGCTTCACTATGACTGTCAAAAAAAACTTTTCAGTTGTGTAATGGCCTGACTTTAAACCCTGTTTCCGTTTACAGTGAACCTGTTACGAGAAATGATTTGACCTCACACGTGTGATTAGTTTCAGTTCATGAGTTTAACATTTCTGCCAAACTAACTACAGTTTGATACAAATTTATTTATCAAATTTGCTCAGTTTTTGTCATTACAAATTTAGCAATAAGTGACATCTTCGGGTATATTTTTCTAATTATGTATCTACAGGTTTTAATTATTGCCTTCGGAAGACATACATACACAAAGAGAGATGTGTAACATTTCCATAGTTTAAAGGCAGTTTAAAGACAGTTTATGAGGGCACAGCATTGGAGATCAAGTAATCTAGTTAATCTAATATATCCCACCCACTAACAGATGCTATGATGAGGCTATAATCAGTTGTCATACTCTTATCCCAGATTGCTGTATGGTTCACTTTATGTGTATTCATCACTCGTCCTCATTTCTTAGAAGGCTGACAAATCTTTTCTGATTTACTAAAGTTAAAGTTGATGGTCTCACCTCATTTTTTACACATTAGGCCACTCTTTTTCTAATAATCGTCTATCACATGGCAGACTTGTAATGCTTGTGTAAAAGTGTAATAGATATATAATCATCTAAAAGAGGATAAGAATTTCATTTATTCACATCTGCTTTGACATCCATATTTTAGCTATAGCCAATGATTGAACAAAAATCTAAAAAGCAAACAAACTGCAACAATCAGTGTTGATTTTCTGTGAAACTCACTTTGAAATTACACTTAAAGTGTGTCAGATAAAAATGATGTTCACACATCCAGCATTAACTTAAAAGAAGTGCCATAACAAAATGATAAATCTGCCGCCTATGTTAAGGTGGAACTGACACTTTTCTAAAAGTAAACTTAAAACTAAAAAACCACGGGGTAAGAAAACAGAACTGTTTTTTGTTGTTGTAGATGACTGTGTGATAAGATTCTTAAGTACTCAATAATATCCCTTTCCTGTAAGGTGTCCTTCCTGTTAGGGAGAGAATTATGGAAATTATGACAAGTACAACATGTTGTCACATATCCCTTAAAGGGTTGTGCAAACATTTTAGTTTCTGTTCAATTTAACTATAAGAGGAAATGAATCCTGCTTTTACAGCACTTATTTTGCTCTTGATGCCGAAATCACTTCGAGCACATCAAATTGCAGCATGAACCATTCAGTTGAGTTGTCTCTTTCAGAGGAGTTTGATGGCAGCACAGCAGTGGCGTGTGTGATCCTCGGTTTGTCCTTCCTGGTTGGAGCTCCTGGGAACGTGCTGGTGATCTGGACCATCCTGAGACACGTCAAGCAGCGCTCCCATACTGTGGTGATCATTCTGCACTTGGCTGTTGCAGACCTGCTGGTTCTCATCACCCTGCCTCTATGGATCTACTCTCTAGTTCACACTTGGGTGTTTGGAGCAGTATTGTGAAAGACCTTAGTGTACACTGTGACTGTGTGCATGTTCAGCAGCATCTTCTTGATCACTGTTATGAGCGTGGAGCGCTTTCTTGCCATCTGTCATCCATTTCTGATGATGCGCTGGAAGACAAAAAGCAATATAAAAATATATCTTGTACTTTTGTGGCTGCTTGCTTTCCTTCTAGGAGTGCCTGCCTTAACACAGAATCTGGAAAACACTGATGGAAATGTGCAATGTTTCACCAGGGAATTAAACTCTGACACCAACACAATTATCATCCTTTGCCTAGAAACCTTGTTGGTCTTTATAGTTCCTTTCATTGTTCTAAGTATCTGCTACTGTCTAGTAGCTGCACAGATCAAGAAGATGAGTTTCAATTCAAAAGAGAAATCCATGGTTCTCATCCATTCTGTAGTGATTGCTTTCACAGTGTGCTGGTTGCCTTACCACGTTATCAACATTATTGATCTGATTTGTATCTTAAGCTGGCCAGACACTGACGACGACTGTGTATCAAAGCCTATCATCTTCATAGTTGGTGCCCTGGTTTTCATCAGTAGTTCGGTAAATCCTGTGTTATATGCCTTCTTTGCAAAGAACTTACAAGGGAGTCTGGAAGAGTCCCGACTAGTGAGGCTATTTAAGGAAATAGCCACTAACACAAACAAAGTGAGGGAGCTGGCAGTGCAACAGCAGACAGACCAGAGGGCAATAAGTACACAAGAAGAGCTGCTATCTGACTGTGTGTGTCAAAGACTGTGATGATGGTAAAATGTGACACTTGTCAATTAACATTAATCACGAAGGATTAAATGAAAATGTACTCATATTATTGCCATGTGTTGTACTCCTCCATTGTTTTTTATGTATATATTTTTTTTAATTCATGTAATGCAGTCAAAATACATAACTTTGAACTTGTGTTTTGAGAAATGTCTGTGATAAGTATTTTTTTTATTCTTAAACATTTGATATTGTCCATTATTGTGTAAGGTGTTCTGTTTGTTATCCTACCTGAAAAAATAAAAAGTGCTACTGAAAACTGCTCCAAATGTCATTTTAACTGCTGTGACTGCTGTATCGTTCTATCAAACTTAAATGTAATGCACAATTTCTTCACTATTTCTGCCAAATAACTTCAAAACTATCTAGCTAACTTTCAAAACTAACATTTTAACTACTGATTTTATCTATTGTTCTGATTTTATCTGTTTTGATTTTATATACTGTTTTGTTTGTTTGTTTGTTTGTTTGTTTGTTTGTTTGTTAGTTAGTTAGTTAGTTAGTTTGCTTGTTTTAATCAATTTTAAATCATGCTTTTTATTTGTTTTTGTTTCTAATGTCTCTGTAAAGCACTTTGAATCACCTTGTTGTTGAATTGTGCTATACAAATAAACTTGCCTTGCCTTGCCTTGCCAAATACTGAAACAAAGCCATTAATTCCTGTCAACCATATGTATCGTCTTTTGAAAAAGTGTAGTGTCTGAACATGTTTGTAAGTAAATTATATTTCCACGTGTGCCATCATCCTTCATCATATTTTCCTAGCAAGCTGATGAATATTTCTTGGTTCACTGAAATGAAAGCTAAGGAATATCTCTGTTGTTTAAATATTACGTAATACCTTTTCCAGTGATGCTGCATGCCATGTAAAGACCTGCAAATGAAACAATAAACAAAAATACACAGCATAGAATCCATTTTAATTTTACTTTTACAATTCCTTAGTGACAAAGATAGAATGTTTTTGGAAATTATTCATAATCTGCTAGTTTTTGTATGTGCTATTGTTTCTCTAAGTCGAAGACAGTGGTTCTCAAACTGTGGGTAAGACAGCTAGGTTTAAAAAAATGAAGTGAAAGTAACATAAAAAAAACAAAAGTCAGGGAAAATACACAGCAGAAGAGCTTTTTGTTGCTTTGTGTGACTTTTAATCGAGTCATTTTCTATTTTAATCTTGTTTTCATCGTTGAGGTTTTAACAAAAAAAAAGTAAGGTGTGGAGTGTGAACTTTTTTCGGTTTCTGAATGTGAACTTTTGTTTTGGCCTAT